TACAACTTCCCATAGATCATAGGTTTCAAGATATAATTTCATTTTCATTGACCAAATCTGATAGTTTTCACCAGTGAATTTTTGGGGCATTCAAAGAGAGGCTGTTTCTTGCCATTATTTTGATTAAAAATGGTTTAAAAAAGCCTATGCGTTGAAAAAGCACGGGTTGAAAAGGTAGCCCTGAAAGGTTAAAATGGGTAGCCCTTGCGTGTTAAAAATGTATGGTAGGTCTTTGGAAGAATTCATAGATTCCTTAAGATCAATGAAGCTCTTGATACCACTGTTGGTGGTTTTCAAAAAAGATGGGACAACACAAAATGATTGAAAATGTCTCTCAATAGATTGATTGTCTTTCAATAGCTTTCAATAATTTTATTAAGCATTGAGGAGTTTTAAATAGCCAACATAAAAATATAATCTGCATAATTTGAAATTTAAAACAACCTAAAATATCTCAACAATTAAAACAACCTAACAAATATTTAAAATTCAAATTCATCCTAAAACTAGGTAACATATATTTTTTTTTAAATGACTGCAGTAACTATAAGCAAACTCAACAATAATCCATTCTAAAATCATGAATAAAATATTAGGTGGAAATATGTAGATTAACAGTTGGGTAATACTTCCCTTTTCCTGGCTCTTTCCGTCTCAAAATACTTATCGTGTTTTTTATATACATGTTTGTTAAGATAATATTAATTAAAAAGGAATTTTGATTATTTTATTCTTCTTTATCTTTATGTCTTAATATATAATTTTTCTTTTTTAAATTATTTATTCTATTTATGTTTCATAATTAAGATATTCATAATTTGCAAGATAATTACTACTAAAATTCTATTTATGTGTCATAATCCAAAAATTCTTGTTTTTACTTTTTTCATAAATTTTCAGATATTCCAAAAAAAATGTTTTCACTCCAAATTACTCACAAAAATTAAAAAATAACTCTAGCTCCCTTTATGTTTTTGGTCAAACACAACACAAATATTCAAATATTATTTCTCACTTTGAAACAAAAAACTACTTTTTTTCTTTCTATTTTCACAATTAAACATGAACAACACCTACTTAAATTAAGATAAGCATACTTTACCAAGAATCCAGTGAGCTACTTTTACTTAGAAATAAGACCGTCAACTCAAAATTCTAGCTTCGACTCGATAAACATGAAATTTTATAGGAAAAATAAAACCCATTTATGTTACCTGGGGAGGGCACAATCTGTAGGCTTTATCTTTTCTTCCATTTTTGATGCAATTAAGACCTTGGTCTATAAATGGACACTGTAAAGAATTATAAATTGGATAAGATTCATAAAAAATCCAACTTGCTTCAAAAATATTACAGCTCCTCAATTGTACTGTTAATAAATGCAGGAAAACAAGAAATAGGTAGATTTTGGTAATTGTTTTAGTAGACATGGTGAAAATTTAGAACACAAATATAAAAATTGGGGGGAAAAATTAAATAAATGGTAGTGTTTGATAATGAATGTGTGTATATGTAGATTTTGGTATGGGATTAAGTAGTTGGTTATCTTTTTGTTATACTGGTAAAAGTGCACTATAATTAGTAAAGTAAGCAACTGAAAAATGTCATCAACATCTTTGTGTGAATGCTATGTACTCTCCTCTTTTGAATTTACTTTTAGAGGTTGAAATTATTTGTCGTGTTCTTTTTAGAGTAGAATATTACAGATAACCTAAATTGTATCATGTTTTTATACCTGAATTATTAAGAGCGTGAATTTCATTAATTTAGAAAACATAGTTCAGTGGTGTGTATATTACATTCTCTCTTTTATTTAAAAAAATCTTGTCACATAACATTCTACATGGAGAAAATGTTACACATTGATAAAAATTAAATAATAAACTATTAGTATTAGTTTAAAATTCAATATTAAAGTATCATTCCCCCCAAAATAATAAATTTGATTTTAAAAAAAATAATAATAAATCTTACAGTATTTTTCTTACCTAAAAATATGTCATCTATACATAATTGAGGTTTTTGTAGTACTCAAGAATAATTAGTAGAACTAAGGTATAATGATAGGAAAAACAATTGTCTTAAACTTCTAAAATGATAAATAAATTGAGATAATTTATCCTAAAAGTCACGATGTAAAGATATGACACTTGGACCTAACTCAACCCAAAAAACTAGCTCATGAGGGGAGGTTTGTCCGAGTCCATATTAGGAGACCAAATTTTCTACCCCTCTACCGATGTGGGACATCTTAACATTCCCCCGCACGCCCAGACCTCAACTGGAGCGTGAACACTTCTAAATGGGGGTCCATCATCGGTGAACAACAAATTGGGATGGACCTAGCTCTGATACTATGTAAAGATATGACACTTGGACCTAACTCAACCCCAAAACCTAGCTCATGAGGGGAGGTTTGTCCGAGTCCATATTAGGAGACCAAATTTTCTACCCCTCTACCGATGTGGGACATCTTAACACACGATAGATAATTTCAAACTGAGACATTATTTATTTCTCTTTTTTTCCCCAAAAATAATCCCTTTTTCTTAACTTGGTTGTAATTTTTGAATTCCAACATTTTATGTGGCATATTTAAAATCATAATGTTAAAAAATATATTATGATACATTATAATTATAATATTAATTTTAAATCATAAAATAAAAAGGAAGTACTTTGTAAATTTTTATCTTGAATTAAATTAAAACAAATAAATTAAAACGAACAAGATATCAAAACAAAAAATTAGTCTTATCACATGATTTACACTTTTGCTAAAATAAATAGAAAGAATTAAAGACAATTCTCAATATTAACGAAACACTATCTTTACTTTGCTTTTCAGTAAAAGGAGGCTTTATTTCTCTACCTTTCTATCTCGACTTAAATTCGTATTTAATTAAATTTTAAATGCAAATATCAAATTTTCGGTGGAATTTTATTTTATTTATATAAAAAAGTTTACTTCTTGATTTAGAGAAGTTTTTACTTTCAATGTTTCGAGTTATATGATATTTTTTGTAATTTTATCATATATATTTTAAATGTTTTAAAGTTTTAATTATCATAACTTTTAGGTAGTTTTTTTCCGAAGTATTTATGTCAACTATCACTACTATGGTCTACGATATTCTAATTTTATGCTTGTTTGGGGAGAATAGGCCGATTTAGACAAGACAAGTACTCTTTGCTTCACCCTGGGATTAAACAAATAAAGTTAAATAGTAGAATTGTATAATAATATTACTCAAAAGAATCCTTGGATTAGTTTCGTAGTTCCTACATAGTGGAGATCATGGGATTAGCCCATGGTTTTTCCTTTTGTTTTGCCACAATTAGTTCAAGACTGAATTCATCTCTCTTTTTTATAGGATGTGTCTGTAACACCTCGTTCTTAGAAACAACTAATTTCAGAAAGAACTAAATTGGAAAGAGCTAATTTGAGATTTGTGCAAGTTAGTCTTCAATTGTGAGTTTTGGGCCAACTTCAAATGGCTATAACTTTCAGCACAAGTGTAAACAAAAGCAAGCTACTGAAGCAGACAGTAAACAAAAACAGAGAAAACGAGTCGAAACATTGAGAAGAAAGGGAACTACTTTGCTGCTTGTTTTGTGCTCTGCAACTGCAGATTTTATATGACAAATACATAACGTTTGAAGCTAAAAAAAACTGGAACCACTAACTCCTAAAAAATAGGAAGTAAAGCCATGATAAACTACTCCCTAAAGACTAGGACAAAGCTGAAATAACTTGACCTTATTTGCTAATAGGACTCTATCTAACAGACTATTTTTCTATTATTTCTCTCCGATACACCATTTTGTTGTGGTGTATAAGCAGTGGTAAGCTCTCTTCGAATTCCATTAGATTCACAAAAAATCTTTAAAGACTTTTGAGCAATACTCGCCACCACGATTAGTTCAAAGAGTCTTTATGGCCTTTCCAGTTTCATTTTCTACATGAGCTTTGAAGGTTTTAAACACTCCAAAAGTTTTTGATTTTTCCTGCAAAAAATACATCAAAGTTTTCCGTGAGTAATCATCTGTAAAGGTAATGAAATACCCTTTACCTCCATTAGAAATTGGTCTAATTGGGACACAAGTATATGAATGCACTAGTTCCAAAATAGCTTTTGCTCTCCACGACTTCCCTTTTGGAAATTGAGAACGATGTTGTTTGCCAACAACACATTCTTCACAAACTTGGGAGGGGATGAGAATTTCTGGAATGCCTATCACCATATTTTTCTGTTGGAGAGTGTTTAATCCACCAAAATTCAAGTGACCATATCTAAAATGCCACAACTAGGAAGAATCTTTCACTTCCGCCTTCAGACATGATTTAATACTCTCAATGTTCAAGGGAAATAACCTGTTTGAATTCATTTTCACAACAACAATAGCTCCTCTAGTAGGACTAGAAATCTCACAAACACCTTTTCCAATGAGAATAAAATACCCTTTCTCTTGCAACTGTCCTACACTCAATAAATTGCTTTTTATAGCGGGAACATATAACACATTTGATATTATTTCTTCAAAACCATTCTTGGCTTTAATTTTAATACCACCTTTTCCCATTGCATCCACAGAGAGCAATCACCAAAACTAACTTTAGAACGAAAGCCTTCATTTAAATAAGAAAAGAAAGACTTACTCCCACTCATGTGATTACTGCAGGCTGTGTCCAGATACCAAACATCTTGCAAAGGTTCTTCATGTGCTTGTGCTGCCATCAACAAGGTCTCAGTTTCCTTTCTTTCAACAAAATTTGACTTCTCGTCCTTCTCATTAGGCAACCTAGTATAACATTCAGATTGATAATGACCAAATTTATGACATCGATAACATTCTACCTTTGATTTGTCAAAATTCTTTCCTCGGCCTTTGCCGTAGTCATTATTGACCTTAAAATTTCTGCCTCCATCTCTGTTTCCACGGTCTTCTCTCCCTCTTCCTCTTCCTCTTCCTCTTCCTCTACCTCTACCTCTTCCTCTTTAATTGGAAGGAATAAAAGTAGAAGCTTTCAGGGCCTGCTCTTCAGGAGTTGAATTGCGATTCATCTTCTGTTCATGCACTAGTATGGAACTTTGCAATTCGTCAAGCGATAACTCATCTATATCTTTTGACTCTTCAATGGAGCAAACGACATAATCATACTTCGGCGTCAAAGAGCGTAGTATCTTCTCAACAATTATGACATCATTCATCTTCTCTCCATGGAATCGCATTTTGTTGCTGATCTCCATTGTTCTAGCACAATAACTCATTACAGACTCTCCTTCCTTCATCTGTAAGGTCTCAAAATCCCTTCTCAAGGCTTGAAGATGTGCACGCTTCACTCTGGTAGTGCCTTGATATTTTTTCTTCATAGACTCCCAAATATCCTTAGAAGTTTCTTTGCAAAGAATAGTTTCTCGGATGGGACGATCGATAGCCTGAAAGAGATAGTTCTTCGCTTTCAGATCTTTCAACTTTTTTGCTTCCAATTCTGCCTTTTGAGCATTCATCAAAGTTTCGCCTTCCGCTGGAGTGTTGATCCCGTCCTCGACAATTGGCCAATATTCCTTTGACCGTAAGAAATTCTCCATTAGCATGCTCCAATGGTCATAATGACCATCAAAGCGTGGAATCGCTGCTTGTATGAAAGTACTATCTGATGTCATGAGTTAAAACGAAAAGAGGAAAAAAAAGTTTAGCTACTGCTATTTTCTTTTCACTCTAGAATTGCTGCTTCTTTCGTATTACTGCAGAATCTCATGCTCGCTCTGATACTACTGTAAACAAAAGCAAGATAATGAAACAGACAGTAAACAAAAACAGAGAAAATGAGTCGAAACGTTGAGAAGAAAGGGAACTACTTTGCTGCTTGTTTTGTGCTCTGCAACTGCAGATTTTATATGACAAATACATAACGTTTGAAGCTAAAAAAAAACTGGAACCACTAACTCTTAAAAAATAGGAAGTAAAGCCATGATAAACTACTCCCTAAAGACTAGGACAAAGCTGAAATAACTTGACCTTATTTGCTAATAGGACTCTATCTAACAGACTATTTTTCTAACAACAAGATGATTTAGGTGATCCATGAGATATCAAATGAAAGGTCTTTGAGTCTTCTTTCCAACGTCGCTGAGTTTGCTAAATTCCAAGTTCAGATGAGGGAGATATGCATGTTTGAGTTCAGCTTGTCCTGTTAAGAAAATTCAACCGAATTAAGGAGGGGTATGTTGGTCTTTTTCTTACCCCACTAAGTCCACACGTTTTTCACCCAAATTAGGGTTCAAAGCTGATTAAAATCATTTTACGCTAAAGACTAAAAAGGTTTGGAAGGTTAGGGTAAAGTTCAAGAGGAGGAAAGGGAGAAAAGCTTCAAGCGTTCAAGATTTCTTATGATCTTTGAGGATTTTCACCAAGAATTTGATTCCTTCGATGTATGTAAGTTATCATAGTGATGGGTTAGTTCACCCTCACACCAATCATGAGTTTCTTTATCAAATTCGTCCATGAAATCTGTGTATTGAGGTTCTTGATGAGTTTTCTTGAAGTTTTTTTCTTCATTCGTTATTAATGAGGTTTGATGAGTTCTTGAGGCGAGGTTTTTGAGTTTTAGGGTTGTTCTTGAGGATATTTCAGTATATTTTTATTTAATTATGTTGGGTTTATGAATCTAAGAGAGTTTGGAAGAAATCAATTAATTCTAGGTAAATTAGGGCCAAAAATTGAGAAGAAAAATTCGTCGAAACTATCTGGAAAAGGGTTAGGGCGCCGCGCCCCCAATATGCCAGCCGTGCGACAGAAATGACCCCCATTAATGGGAGTACTTGCATGACGCGCCACCCCTGTGCCAAAATCGTCACACCACTTTTCATCTTCGTTCTCATTTCGTACTTGTTCCTTTGAGTTGAGCTTTCATTCTCTTCTTAATCCTAATTATTTAAACCTTCATTATTGATCGAGAGATCATATATATTATGAATCATAACTCTTATATTCACATTTCAAATTCAAGAGAGTTAAAGAGTAAAGTTTGAGGGAGTCCTTTGAGTCATTTTGAGAAGTCCTTTACAAACTTTTAACACTTGTTTTAAGGCTTGAGTATTTGAGCATGAGGATGAGGAGAGTTGAGTTCATGTTTTCCAAATGAATATAAGAGAACTAAGTATTCCCAAGAGTAAATGTTTTACATTTAAAATGAGAGGAAACTTTGATTTCCAAATGAGTTCACGAGGAGTTTTTGAGCACTATCTCTTTTAAGAGAACCTTTTGAGTAATAATCTCAAAGTTTGAGGATGAAGAAATGTTTTTAAACATATGATCATGAGTTATATTATTGGGAGTAGTATTGAGCACCAATATGGGGACGAGTTCAGACAAATCAAAGTCCTCATAAACCATGTAAGCCAACATGGCTTTTTAGATGATTCCTTATTGTTTTAAAGCATAGCTTAGTGGATCCACTTAGTTGAGGATGTATTATACTCTGGCAAGGTATATGACATTTCTAGCAGCGTGGGCAAGACACTGTACCATCACATAGCTCATACTGATGGTTGTTGGTTTGAGAAGCTCCCAAATAAGAGTAAAAGAGTTATTATTGTATTATTAAATACACTGAATTATTATCCACTGTTTTAAAAACTTTATCTATATTGTATCTTTATTGTTGCTTTATATTGAACTGAGTTGAGTATTTCCGAGTTTGAGTATCTTTGAGTATCCTTGAGTTGAGTTGAAATGAGGTGAGTATGTTCTTCCTTTTATCAATTCAAGCTCTTGTATGTGCTTTAGAGTTCCCCTTGCATGCTCGTACATTCCATGTACTAATGCCATTTGGCCTGCATCTTTCATGATGTTGATACAGGTAATTAGTGTCATTAACATGCGCTCCGTTGATACCACTTGCAGTTCCAGAGTTGCTTTGGTGAGCCTCCTTGCTTCGGAGAGTTCCAAATCTACTTTCAGTTTTGTTAGGAGGTCATGTGTCTTCTCTGAACTTCCCTCATAGTAATTAGAGGCTTCATAGACAATAGTGTTTTGAGAAGTCTTCTCCATTTTTAATTGTTAATGTTCAAGACTTGAGTTACCTCTTTTGGCTAGTTGAATGTTTTTCCGAAATATTTTGAGTTATGTATTTTGAGACTTTTGAGTTTAATCTTTACTTTTGAGTTCCTAGGTGTAGGCTCGGGGTGTGACAATCTTGGTATCAGACCACAAAGTTCAAGAGTCCTAGGGTGTCTATGAAGCTGTGTGTGTAGAGTCCTGGTTATCAGTGTGAAGCACGCCACATCTATAATTAGGACGCTATGACATTTAGGAACTAGAGTTCAAATCCATAAAAGTTTTCTTCTAATTTGTTCTTGCACGTATCTTTCAGATCATGCCTCCACGAAGAGCTGTTTGAGGTCGTTCTACTAGGAGAAATGTTGATCCCCAAAATCAAGGGGTCTCAAATGCACCAACAGTGCAATCCCAAGGAGAGGTCACTAATACTAAGTTCCGGGATGCTATTTAGATGTTGAGTCAAGTGGTGACCAGCTAAGCTGGGAAACTGAGAGGGATTCGTCAGGATGTGACTGATACATCTAGGATCCGTGAGTTCTTAAGGATGAATCCTCCCGACTTCATAAAATCAAGTGTCATTGAGGATCCAAAAAACATTGTGGAGGAACTCCAAAAAGTATTTGAGGTGATGTATGTTGCAGATGAAGAGCGTGTGGAGTTAGCTTCATACCAAATCAATGGTATTGCAAGGATCTCGTATGAGCAGTGGAAGAAGAGTAGAGCTTAAAGGGCACCAATTGTGAACTGGGTTGTGTTTGAAAGTTCCTTTATGGGGCGTTTCTTTCCCCGTGAGTTGAGAGAGGCAAAGGTAAGATAATTTCTTAATCTTAAGAAGTAATCCATGGGTGTGCATGAATACAACCTCAAGTTCACTCATCTGTCCCGCTATGCTCCGGAGATGATTGCTTATGAGGAGCAGGATGAGCTTGTTTGTGTCTGGGTTGTCTCGTCTGTCAAGCAAAGAGGTAAGGCTGATATGTTGATAGGGGACATAGACATAGAAAGACTTTTGATCCGTGTGCCGCAGGTTGAAGAGGACAAGTTGAGAGATAGGGAAGAGTTCCGCAGCAAGAAGTCTAAGACAATAGGTAATGAGTCTGGGTAGCAAAAGGCCGGTAATGGGAACCGGTCATCTTTCCAACAAAATCCAACTATACCTGCTCCATCATCTGCTAGTGAACCTGCACCAAAGAACAGAGGTGAGTTCAGGAATTAGAATTCGCAGAACTTCAGAGCTAGACCTATTTAATCTTAGGGTAGTGTGGCACAATGGGCCAAGTGGACCCCTACTTGTGCTAAGTGTGGTAGGAACCACCCATGAGCGTGTCATAATAGCTCCATGGGTTGCTTCAAGTGTGTTCAGATAGGTCACTTTATGAGAGAGTTCCCTAAGCACAGGCAAGGTAGTGGTATTGGAGGCAATATAGCCCAATCTTTTCAGTGGCTCTGCAAGACTAAGCTGCACCTAGAGGAGCTACTTCACAGATAGGTGGAGGAGCAAACCATCTGTATGCTATTACCAGTCACCAAGAGAAAGAGAATTCACCAGATGTTGTCACTGGTATGATCAAAGTCTTTACTTTTGATGTATATGCATTGTTTGTTCCAGGTGCGAGTCTTTCTGTTGTGACTCTGTATATTGCTATGATTTTTAATATTCTTCCCGAGAAACTTCTTGAGCCCTTAAGTGTTTCCACACCTGTTGGCGAGTCCATTCTAGCTGATAGAGTTTATCGTGATTGTACCATTTCTATAAATCACAGGGACACCATGTATGACTTAGTCGAGTTAGACATGGTGGACTTTGATGTTATTCTAGGTATGGACTGACTTCTTGCCTGTTATACCTCAGTTGATTATAGAACTCGAGTAGTTAAGTTCCACTTTCCTCATGAGCTAGTTATAGAGTAGAAGAGTAGTTCAGTGGTGCCTAAGGGTCGTTTTATTTCGTACCTTAAGGCCATAGATTAAGTTTTCAAGGGGTGCATCTGTCACTTAGTCTGAGTTAATGACTCTAGTATTAAGACACCACCTATTGAATTAGTTCCAGTTGTGAGTGAGTTCCTATAGGTCTTTCCAGATGATCTTCCTGGAGTCCCTCCTAAGAGAGAAATAAACTTCGGTATAGATATTCTTCCTGATACTCGACCTATCTACATTCCTCCATATAGAATGTCTCTAGCTGAGTTAAATGAGTTAAAAGAGCAGTTGAAAGATCTTCTTAATAAGGGTTTCATTCAACCTAGTGTCTTAACTTGGGGCGCTCCGGTCTTATTTGTGAGGAAGAAAGATGGTTCTATTACGATGTGTATTCATTAATGCAAATTGAACAAGGTTACTATAAAGAATAAGTATCCCCTTTCGAGAATTGATGATCTATTTGATCAACTTTGGGGTGCCACTTGATTTTATAAGATTGACCTTAGATCTGGCTATCACCAATTGAGAGTAAGAGAAAGTGACATCCCGAAGACATAATTCAAGACTCGTTATGGTCACTATGAGTTTTTGGTTATGTCTTTCGACTTAAATAATGCTCCTGCAGCGTTCATAGACCTTATGAATAGAGTGTTTAAGCCATATCTGGTTATGTTTGTTAACG